ATTGTTAGAAAGCCCACTGTTTACACGTTATTTGCTTGGTTGAAGTGTTGTGGTTTGTCGATAGATAGTGTTTGCGCTGTGGAATTTGATATGTCCTACGTCATTGAACTCACCATGTCTATGCTGACGCTCCTTGAATGCACCACTCTGTGCCGTGTGCTGCTAGTCTGCCTTTGTAGCTGCTGATAGCCAGCATTTTTCCTTGTGTCTTCTCACCAGTATCTCGTGGGTTTTGGTTTATTGCTGTGTGTGAATGCCAGAAGGTGGGTTCTGTTTACATGATGTTGTGTATGTCAGCTGCTATTGTGTGCATTTGTTCCCTCGTGGCTATGCTAATGTAATCCTATGCTAATACGCTAATATGCTATGTAAGCTACTAAGCTAGTTAATGCTAATTATAAATCTTGTGTAATTGTTGAAGTTGTTATAGATGTGAGTGTTGAATACAGTTCCTTGTGCTATCTCTGTGCTAGAATAATGTCTAGATATGTTGAATATTTTATGTGTGCTGTACTGATAGTTGCTTTATGTATCATTACTACAGACCACAGCTGAATAAATCTCCTAAACTTGGAAGCTGCCTCCGTGTTCTTTAACCGGAACACACCCACCATACCTTGCCGCTCTAAATCAAATCAGCTAAACTCCCGGAGACAACATTCTCTCCATTTTAGCCATGATGATCCATTTGGCAAAATAAATCCATTGGGTATCCTTGTTGGTCTTCAGACAACAATTCTGACGGCTAAAGAACCAAATGGGACAGGCAAAAGGAAAAAAAAACAACAAAAAAACAAAAAACATTTGATCCAAGAAAAACTGTCAGTGTGCCTCATTAACCTGCTCACATTTCACATTTCTGTTTACAATAAACAACTTCTAAAGTCAATGTCCCCAACTGAAGGAGGCACTGAAGGAGGTACTGACGGAGACACTGCAGGAGGCACAGAAGTCAATGAGATTATTTCTCAGTGTGAAAATGTAGAGCACTCGTGTTGTTGGAAAACATAACAGAAAATGCTTTTGTGGTTAAAGGAGGTTGTTTTTCCCGCTGCTGTGGAATAATGTGCATGCCCGGGATTGCTACAATACAGCGCTGGTGTCCTGACCTGGTACTGATGTCATTCAGACATCAAACTGATGTCATGATCAACAAACCAAATAATGTTCCAGACACTGACCACAGTATGGCCTTCAGTGAAAAGATTACGGTGGGCAGCTGGATATTTTTCAGCTGAAGCACTTTGCATGAGGTATGTGGCATGGACCTGTTCTTTATTTCCACCTTTGAAAAGCAAACATGGGACATAATATTTGGGCAGCTAGCTCAGTGACTTTGGGCTGTACAGACACTGTGAGCTGCATTCATATCAGCAACCAACCTAAAAACAGGACCTGGTCACTCACCTCCTCACACAGACTCTCACAGACTTCTTCCTAAGTTACACCTGTTGGTGTGTGAATTAGCTACAGTAGTAGGTTACCCTGGATATTTATGCACATTTCTGCTTTTAATAATCACAAAATAAAGTGCTGCACCACTCTTTGCCATAATAAGAATAATAACGGCATAAATCTCTTTCGGGTTTAGATGCTCAGTTTGGTCAACTTTTTTCTATTGTAGGAAACATCATCTTCAAATGTTTTGTTTTTAAACACCAGAGTATGTATTTATTCAAACAGCAGAGGACCCAGGATGGAACCTTGTGGAGCTCCACGTGTTAGCTAACCAACTAGCCATCAGAACAAGAGCATACTGCTTGTTTTTAAGTCTCTTATAATGGATTAGAACTAGTAGAACTCTTAGGTCAGGTGATAAGTTGCTTCTGATTGTTCCTAGAAGCAGACTAAGACACAGAGGTGACCGGGCCTTTGCCATTGCTGTGCCTAAACTTTGGACCAGTCTGCCTCTTCAAATGAGGATCTCTCCAACACTCAACATTTTTAAATCCCGTCTGAAAACACATCTTTACTCCCTAACTTTTGACTGTGACTGAGTTTTTGTTTTGTTCTCGTTGTGTCTTTGTCTTTGTTTCACTTTTTAGTTTGTACAGCACTTTGGTCAACTGTGTTGTTTTTAAATGTGCTTATAGATAAACAGATTGATAAGATTCACAGAGCTTCAAGACTTTAGAGATGATGACTGAGGTCATGAGTGCTCATAAAACCTCAGCATCTTTCTGATTTGATAGATGTGAGGTTTTAACAAAGCTGACGCTTCCAGTCTTTGTACTAATCTAAGCTAAACCTTTTGCAAAGAAAGTGACCCATCTGAAACAATCTGACTCAAGGAAAACAAAAAACAATGAATTTCATCCAAACATTGTCAGTTCCTTTAAACGCTGCCCCATGTGGTCACCCTGCGATAGTTAAGTGTGTTGAACCCAAGCATGCAGCTCGGCTGGTGTTAGATGCCCATGCAGCAGTTACTTTGAGCTCCACAGCAGCATCCTTGTAGCGCATTACAGGGGCTGTGGGTGATGAAGACTGGGCTGGCACCGGAAAGCCTCACCGTCCCCGCGGCGGAAAAGAAGGCCTGGACAGTGACGTGCCAGCAGGAGATGGCAGCGAGCACGGAGCTGGCAAAGTCGTCTACCTGCTTGTCCTCCAGCAGAGCATCATCCAACTGACCCGCCTCTTCCACGCTGCACAGCAGGCGCTCTAGTGAGTCCTTCCTGCTGCCGAGCTCCGCCTCCTCCTCCGTGACAAACTCCCCCAGCATGCTGCTGCTGACGGCGGCCCGCAGAGAGCACCTGTCATCTGAGCACTGCAGGACGTCACACACTATCATGTTTCTGCTTCCTAAAACTAAAATGTGGCTCTGACAGCAGGACTGACCCTCAGTAACCCTTACCGAAACATCGCTCATAAGAACACATCAGAAAAATCACAGAGTCATAAACAGAAGAAACAGTCTTTAAATCTGAGCAACAGCAAGCAGGTGTGTGTTCAATGAGTTTGGGTCTTACCTCCAGGAGCGCTGAGAGTCCAGCAGGGGATTCAGCAGAAGAACAAGAGCAAAAAGATTTGTTAGACACAACAGCTTTACCTGTGAACATCTGCAGCTTTAATCAGCCCAGAGAGCAACAGGCCTCAGAATCCTCACAGTGTTTTCTACCACGCTAACCCTTATTAGGTCCACAGCGGGTCAATCTGTTAGAGTCCAGACATTTTATTGAATTTTGCCTGAAATAAACATTTGCAAAATATTATAAGAGATAACCTAGAGGTCCAAATGCATGTCTGAGAAGGAAATCTAAAACCTGGGCAGAATACAACCTAAACAAAAACGTTCCAAGAAAAACTACTATGAGGACAAAAGTCACAAAAGTGGACATACTGATCAAAGATTTATCAAAATCGATTTCAATGAAATGACTTTACCTTTATTGCTTTTCAGGGTTTGTTTGATTGGCTCTGGAGAGGAAACAAAACTGGTCGTTACACATCAATAACAACAAGATACCTTGATCAGTAATCCAGGTAATCTGATTACCTGACTGTCGGCGGCCCTGACGAGCATCTCGTGGGAACTCGTCAGAGTGGCAGGATGTGGCTTTCTTCAGGCGCTCAGGACTGTAACGGTACTTGGAAGGATCTACAGGGAAGCAACAACAACACAGAGGAGCATTTCATCACATCCTTATTAATCTTTGCTTTTATTAATCTTCTACAGCAGAAGAGATGTTTACTCACAGATGGAGTCCATCTCCAGGATAGCTTCTTTTGCCTGAAACACACAACTAACCATTACTGGTGTCTGCACTGGTCACCTGGAGCGATATGGGTGAGTATACTGATGTTTCTGACCTTCTGTGGGATGATGGCTTGGTGGTTTTCCACAATGATGCGTTTGATGTGATGAGCCCAGAGCTTCTTCTCCTCCACCGTCTTAGCCTGAAACATTAAAAGACAAAAACATGGAGTGAACTCCGATCCTCTCAGGCTTAAATATGTTGGCTGGCGGGTGGAGGTCGACTCACCTGGACGGTGTGAGGCTGTTTGGGGTTTTTGTAATGCATGACGCTGAAACTCAGGGAGTCTTTGGCGTTTTCGTTGAGCGTCAGTGTGGAGCACTGAAACCAAGAGACAGAACTAAGAATCAAACCTGCACTTAAACCAAAGACCTGAAAACCTGCAGCTCTTAGATGTTTGTCTGCTGCCACTCACAGAGATGTGCGTCTTGTAGACATAGTGTTCGCCACGACGTTTGGTGATGAGCAGCACCCGGTCAAAGAGAAAGAGCGTTCTTTCATTTCTGGCTCGATGGACCTTGAAGTTTCCCTCCAGAACTAATTCTCCGTATGTGGTGAGATCAGGACCTTTCCAGTTTAGCAGCAGTGACTGAACCTCCTGAAGAACCAAACACAGAAACACTCAGACACTCCTGCCTTTGGTTGTTTTGGTTTGTTTTTAAGGAAGGAAGCCCTGAAACAACTTTGTAGAAAAAGGAAGTTCAACCTTTCCAGATTTAATTTCCTTTATCAGAGCAATTCAGTGCAGGGCTTCCTGTTTGAAAATGTCACCACTGGGAGCAAACTCTCTCTAAACTAAAATAAATAGTTCTTATCTGGGACACACCTCTCTTACATTTACCTTCTGATAAGAACTTCATCTGCACAGCCTAAAAGTTATTTTCTATAATAATAATAATAATAATAATTATGTATACTTTATTGATCCCAGTGGGGAAATTCCTCTTTGCATTTAACCCATTCACCATTGGGCGCCCGGGGAACAGTGTGTAGGGACGGTACCTTGCTCAGGGGTACCTCAGGGTAGCCGTTCAGTGGATTCGAACCCTCAACCTTCCGATCATGGGGCCGCTGCTCTACATACTGAGCTATCACTACCCCAATATTTTCTTTTCACTTTATAGCCATAATTACAGTGTGTATAGAATAAACTTTGTTTTGCCATTAGTTACCTGGAGTCGGACGGCGTGTTCGTGTTTTCTCTTCATGTCATTAATGTACCATGCCACTCCCGTCATAGTGTAGAGGGCCTCCTCTACCACCTCATAACCGTCATCGTCTGGGTCAAAATGCTTCTCTATCTCCTAAAGAAAACCATTACAAACACCAACAAATCAGCATAAAGTCATGTTCAGTTTAACCCGTTCATGCATGAATTATGACAACCTCAATCTGGATATTTTTCTTAAGTATTTTTATTCATCTTTAGGCATGAAAAAAAAAGAATTTTGAACTTCATTATTTTTTAAACACTTAGGTGGACAACTGTGTATGGAGTGACACATCAGTGTCTAATGTATCAGTGTCTAATGTAGTGGTTTATGTGCAAGTATACCATCAACACTGACACAAATACCTTAAAACAGCCTTTGAATAGCTGTCCACTGTAGTGACCACTATGCATCAAAAGGTTAAAACATACAATTTTATGCAGATGATACCAATTTATTTATGTAAAATGAAAGTGACACGATCACACTGTAGCTTCAAACCAAATAACCAAAAAGTCTGACAAATATTCCCCAATACATGCTTGAAAGTATATATAGTCTAAAAAAATAAAAGAAGACTCCCAAAAGGTTGATTCTGTTCATCTGGACGTTTTCAGTGGGAGAAATCATCACTTATCCAAGTGACTTCTTCAGTCTCAGCTGACTGCAGGTTTCCCCAACTTTATAAACAGTACCTTTGCACAATAACTGAAATGTTCACTGAATGAACAATGGGCTGTGAGGTCAGTTCGTTGATCCTTAATATGAAAATTGTCATGACCATGGATAAACAACCATTAATCAATGAACACTGATCAAAACCTATTGGTCAATGGCCACAAATACCATTCACAGAGAGTTCGGGAATGGCTGCAATCACAGCATTGTAAGATGGTGACAGATGTACCTTTAGGCCCCCTCCTCAATTCAGAGATGGGCTTTCCCTTTTCATGTGGCCTCCTTGACTCCCCGCTCAAATCAGCATTCCTCCCTGTCCATGATGTGTACATCCTCATCATTAAAAAGAAGACTCAGTCTTCTTTTTAATGAAGACTGAGGGAGTCTTCATTAAAAAGAAGACTCCCTCTCAACCCAAACCAATCATCCACATCTGGACGTTTTTCCCAAATACTGTGGATATCCACTCAAACTTCACTTATGTGTTGCTCATATAGTTTTCAGTTAGTTGGCTAACAAAAATATAACTAAGAAGATAACTTCTGCTTTCACAACAGGAAATGTCTGAAGACACTTTAACTCTGACCGAACCTCCGGGAATCCGTGTGAGTCTTCGTGTGAAATGTGATGTAAACGTGGCCTCAGACATATTTGCTTCATCTCAGTCCTCTGGTCTATTTCTACAGGTTTGGCTGCAGGTGTAACTGGTTGTCAGGTGTGCTGGTGTGGTACCTGTAGCAGCAGGTGGTATTTAAGGATCCTCTGAACAGGTTTGAGCAGGTATGAACCCAGAGGCAGCGAACGTTTAAGCGAGGACTGGCGGTCCCGGAAAAATTTGGCAAGAGATTTGTTCCTCATGCACTCCGTCAGTGCCGCTACCGAACTGCAACAGGAGAGAGGAGACAGACAAGTGTGGACAGGTCAATGTGAATGAGACAAGGTTTTTAAAACGTGCTCGAAACCTGACGTATGGGAAAGCAGTACAGCTGCTGTAGGGCTTACTTTGGATAGTTGGTGCAGTACTGTGTGTAGATGTCAAAGTACTCGCTCTGAAATACAACAAACCAAGAGTTTTATCAGCCGCTGCTTGTACGAACCATCCTCACCCAAATCCAATCAGATCTGGTCTCACCTTGATGACGAAGCACCTGGCGATGGCGACGGGGTTGTTGTCACACTGGTCGAGATCCTGAAGCAGCTCGCTGTGAACAGGAAACACTGTCACCGTGGCGACCCCAGCAACAACAACGCTTTGCATGTCACCAGGAGCAAACCAAAGGAAACCTGAAGTTTTTCTCTCGTTTCAGCAGTTTCCTTCTTACTTCTTACTTCAGAGTCTGAACCCTAACGCTCATTTTAATATTTCATGATGTTCTTCTAATGTTTTGGAGTTTTTAACCTTTAACCATGAAGGCAGACAAGAAGGAGGTAGGAGAGCAGATGAAGGACATGCAGTGAAAGTCTCTGTTACCTTCTACTCGAATGACTCGACTAACACTAAACCAAAGGCTGACATCATGGCGGTCATGGTTATTTTTATATATACAATCTGGTTTGTGTTACGGTGTTCGTCTGTGGCTGCACCGTTCAGGAGTGAAAATGGGTGAAACGGTTTGTTCATATTTAACCTGCTGAATCGTTCCTAAACATGAAGGCACTCAAAGTCACAGCAAACAGAGCACTCCATGCTGTGCAGCAGGACAGCGCCGGTCTACAAAGCAAACTTACCCCTCGACAGGAAACAGAGAGCGCTGACATGGGGGAGACGTAACATCAACGTTAACCGTTTTAGACAAAATATCGTGCTGTGATAACGGTCACATTAAACTTTATCTTCTTCACCTGTTGAACTCGTAGATGTCCTCGATGTTTCCAAAGAGAGCGCAGACCAGCTCAGGACGGATCGACAGATCCGACTGATCGGACTGATCGATGATGTGAGCCAGGTAGTCCTGCAGGACAGGAGGGAGAGGTTAGTAGAGTGGACGGAAGGAAGGAAGAGACAAGCAGGGAAGAAGAGGATAAGAGGAAGTGACAGAAAGGTCAGGGGTCACTTTTTAAAAAGCTCAGCGTCAAATAAAACACCCTTTAAAATAAACTGGAATGTTTCCATTTCTCCAACAGGAGGCAGACTGAACGCTCACTGAGCTATACCACAGTAATCTGATTACTTCTGGCTTGATCAGAGATGCTTTCTGTTTGATTAAAAAAAATATATATATATATTCCATATGTTTGGTATTTATTATTGAGGTAAGTACATAAACACATTTATTGTTTTAAATAAAAGTGATTACGTATTTATTTATGTTTATTTTTATAAACTGAACTTTAAAATCTGTGTGTCAGTTTATGTTTAATGTGTCAGAGTTTACTTGATTTTTAAATATTTTAAAAATGGAGAAAACTCATATGTCTGATGTGTTTACTGATTTCATATTAAATATTCTATCTCACTTAGAGCTTTTTTAGGAAACCTAAAACTTGTTATTATTTTATTGTAAGGACAGGTCTTTGTTATTCTCTGAAACCTTGGTAAATAAATCATAATAAATATCTGTTAGAGTATTTCTGTCGTATCCGTTGCTCCTTCACTGGTTTGTTTTCCTACGTTTTTTAAACAGCCTGGTTTGATTGAGTCGTACTTCAGACACTAAAACATGTGCGTGCAGCTCGGTGAGCCTGTTACATAAGCAGCTAATCCCATCACTGCAGAACGTCTTAGCTTGTTAATTATAGTCTGACACTGAGTCATGGCCGGGGTAACAACTGACACCGCGAGCTGTCCTCTGTACGTGGAGATGCGTTCAGGAAACGTGTATGTTTCACGAGCCCAAAATGTTCAGACTAAGAAAAATGGGTCAATTTTTGTCCTGCGTGCTTTCAGAATAGAAATGAAATGTTTGAAGTTCAGACAGTTTTACCTTGGTGAGTTTAGATTAAAACTAAAGGATGAGAAGCTCATGCGTCAGCAGCTTAAAAACCAAACCCTGTCCAGCTCCTTGGTCACTGATCATCGTTTGAAAATAAGACGCCGAGGATGGAAGTGTTTCTACTTCATGTTCTACACCATGGAAATGATCCTGGGATCATCCACCGCCACCCTCTGTGGACATCCAGGTGTTTTCATGAGATCACAGACTAGACTCTCAGAGAAACGCTTAGCGCCTGAAGTTACTTTAGAGTTAGTTTCAGGATAAAGCGTCAAACCATCAGCGAGCGTGATCAAAGCAAACCTGACTCGTCCTGAACCCGCCGCTAACGAGCAGCGATCGATGTTCCAGGTATTCGGCAACAAAATTCCAGGAACTCAGGAGGTGGTCCTGAGTTAAACTACCAATGAGAATAAAGGATATGGTTGGACGGGTGGCTACCTAGGCAACCACAACGACCAACCATCCACAGCGACAAATTTGAGCCCGTAGAGCCCACACCTGTTACCATGACACCTATAGGGTCACGCAGTTAGGTAACTCACCTCCACGATCATGCGCAGATCTCTCACATACATCCTCTCTGTCTCGATGATCTCCATGACGACGCGGTCTAGGTAGGTCAGCTGAGGGTTGGGCGCCATGCTGGCACCGATAAACGGTGAAGCCGGCTGCCGGCGGCTCAAGGTATGACTCGCCTTCCAGTCTTTGTTGTTGTTGTTTTTGTTGTGAATGAAGCTCCGCCCCTTCCTGTTGGGTTGGGGGCTCGACCCCTGGAGGTCTGCAGCGACCTCCTCGGGGCTCAGGTTAAGGTTGATGTCAGGGTCGGAGGAGGAGCTGGTGATAGATGAAGGCAGGGCGAGGTTGTCGTCTCTGGAGGATCCAGACCCGGAGGACAAAGTGGAGATCAGGCTCACGGGGCGCCGGTAAGATGCCAGCAGGTCGGAGGAGTCGGAGGGTGTGGACGATGGAGCACGCTCATCGCTGCTGATGGAGGCGGTGGACAGGCGGGAGGACCCTGAGGAGGGGAGGGAGAGAGATGATGTCACTGATAGCAAACTTCTACATCATCACCTTTCACAATAAAAGCACTGAGGTTTTTCCACTGTCAGAGTGAGGGCAGAGTTTCACAATAAAAGCTTGTGTAAGGAGAGGTTAGAACATGATGAATGTTTGTCCGCAAAGACAGATAAAGCAGTGTGTCATTTTGGTCCTGGAGTCTGAATTCACTTTGAGGAAACACTCACGCCTCACATCCACAGCTGCAAACATCTGGACAGGTTGTAGCCTATTAACCACACCTGAGGAATGTCAGGAATCCAAATGTGTTTAGATGTTTTTACAGTGAAGAAACAGTTTGTACTGTGTGAAGCAACTGAACGAATGAGCAACATTTCAACATGTACATGCGGGCTGCTTGGCTGGGAATTAAATGTTCAGGAACTGACTCATCAGGTGGTTCGAGCTCCGGGAGTTTCAAAGTGAAACGCCTCAAACGCCCATTTCTTCCATCGACCTATAGTTCCTCTGGCATCCAGCATAGGCAGCAGTGAGTCAGTCCCCATTGACTCCCATATTATCATAAACATGTTTACAGCCTGTAAACAAACACTTTGATCTATCTTCAAAACACCTGTAGTCTATAACTCACCTGTTTAGTGTATGAAGACTGAGAGTTTGCATTATCAGGGGCGTGGCCTCTATGACTTACAGGTGCATGGTTACACAGATGGGTGTAGCTGCTAGCTGTCTTATTTGTGCCGTTTTATCCTTTAGGATGAGTTTCATGATATCATCGTGACAATAACAACATGGCTGCTGTGCAGTTACTTGCTGATGCTGGCAGATGTTTACAGGTATGACACTGTGAGAAAGTGGAAGCTACACATTCGTGTTTCATGTATTTAACCAGATTCTCGGATCAGGTGTTCAACCATCGTCCAACCAGCCAATCACAGCAGGTTCCCACAGACTCTTTCAGTGAAATCAGCATGTAGCAGATCAGCGATAGTCATTGATTCCTCTTTGATTATCTGGTTTAGCTTCATTGACAGATTTCTGGGAATCGCATACTGAGAGATTTGGTTGGCGCACGTACCGGCTAACCAGTCCTCTGAGGGTTTGGCTAAATATCTGAAGAGCAGCGACACCGACAGTCCACCTGAGACACAGACACACACATTCAACATGTGGACGACAACAGTAGGACAGCAGAGCGCTCCTCAGACAGGAAGTTCCTGCTGCCACCGTCTCTGATGTTCCTGTTAAACATACACAGAACTGTCAAACCTGACTTCAGAACACAGACAGAGCATACTCCCCAACAGGTGGAAAAGCAGGCACACAAAGGCAGGGGGTAACCAGCTTTGGACCTGTCCCAGGGCTCGCAAAATCGCTAGCCCGACGTCCCAGGGCTAGCGATTTTTCCAGTCGGGCTACCAAAATCTAACTCAGCCCTGCCCGTCGGGCTATCATGGAAGGATATATGTCTATGCTTTTGCATTCTTTCGCCAATGTAGCTGAGTAATTATGTCATTGGCATCGATGAGCCACTGTCAATATGTGACATATTGAAATCGCGTTTGAATTTGCGCTTGCTTTTTGCTTTCACTTTCATTTTGCGATCGCGCAAACGGTGTGTAGAGAGCAGCAGCACTGATTGGTGAGTGACGATTAATTGCGCACCAATTCCTCTGACATCGTCTTATCACTCATTAGCTTACTATTCAAACGCGACAAGTGAAATCTCTCGCAGCAAGCTTAAACATGTGAGAGGTTGAGTGCGCAAAGAATCGCTGACCGTTATGTAAGTACGTGTGTAAAAGCAGCAGGATTTACGCTGGTATTTTAGTTCTGCTCAGCCAAATAAGACAGGTCAGGGTGAAGAAGGGGCAGCCAAAGAAAAGCCTACCACAAAACGGAAAAGTTATGACAAATCAGACTATGGGGCAAAAAGAAAGCGCAGCTTTTTTGGTTTCATGGACAAAAGAATTTCTGTGGCTGGAATATGACAAGCTAAATAACATGATGTTCTGCCAGGTGTGTTGTGAGTTTCATTTGATTTCTGAGTCGACAAGCGCCTTTGTTACTGGGACCAGTAATTTTAAGAAAGACCCCATCAGAACCCATGAGAAATGCAAGAAATGCATTATTGCCCAGTCAGCAGTATCTTTCCTAGAACAAACAGCAATTGCAAAAAAACATACTAAAAATAAACCAAGCACAACAAGAACTCCTGAAAAATCTGTTTAGAACTGCGTGCTATATTGCAAAGAGTGAACTACCACTGGCAAAATTTAGCAGTCTTTGCAAACTTCAAAAAGCAAATGGCCTAGATCTTGGTTCCACTTGCCTCTTACCCGTGACTTCAGTGGAAATTTCAGATTCAGGATCTGACACAGGCTGATTTATGTTCTACACAGTTCTTACAAGTTCATAGAAATTTCTGTTCAATTTGAACCAAGTATTTGAGTTGATGGTTGTAGTTCTTATACAGTTGTTGTGATTTGTATTTTAACATTTTTTTTGATTACTTTTTGTTTCCGTTACAATATTATACTTTAATGTATAATATTGTAAAGGAAACAAAACATAAAAAAAAATTGCTTTCTTTTTTATTCGGGCTACTTAAATTTATTTTGGGCTACCAAAAACTGAAGAATGCCTGCCCGAAGGGCTACCAGAGATTTTGAAATATTTGCGAGCCTTGTGTCCTCTCTGCTTCGCTGCACACACATTACAAACTGCACTTGAACACAACAGCTCAGGTCTGAATCATTTCAAACGGATCTTCTGTCCAATACTCAACAAACTCAGACACAAACACAGTTTCCTGAATTTCCTTCAGAATAAAAGTCAGTTAAAAGCCTTTAATGGGAAGCTGTGGGTGAAGTAAATTAACCCTGCAGGACTTTCAGCGGGAGGATCAGACGGACCTCTTCCGGCTCCGAAGAGCAGCTCAGCCGGAGGGTTTCACGCTGTGTTCACTTCACTCTCCCACATGACAGGAATCTCAGAAGCCAAAACACAAATCCTCCTTGAGAGGGAACACAGGAGGAGAAGGAGGAGGAGGGGAGGAGGAGTGCGTGTTTGAATGAAAACAGCTTCTCACACACACACACACACACACACAGAGAGAGAGTGGTCCGTTAGCTCTTTGGCTTCCTGCCATTCTGCAGCCAGGGAGGTGTTTACTCACCAGGCAGGAAGGGAGTGAGTTTATGGATGTGATAAGAGGCCTGGTGGGCCAGTCACAGCTCAGAGTTTACATTCAAACACCTTCAAACACACACACAGGGTTGACCTTTGACCTCTGCAACCGTTGGACCAACAGGAAGAGCAGCTTTTCTAGGACCCTGACCAGAGTTTGAAACCAGAATAAAAACTCAAACAGGAGAGAAATGAGCTGAAAACATCTGAAACCTCTTCACCTGCTCCGTTTAACACCTGTGAAGAAAAACGTGTTTGTTTAAAAAAAAAATAAAAAAAATAATCCACTCCGCTCATAGCTTTAGCACTAATGAGCTTTATTCAAACCTCTGACACTAGAAAACAGAAACAGTCTCTGAGACCTCACTCCATCCAAAATGCTGCATCAGGAAAAAAGTCTGAGATTTTCAGGGACCATCTGACGGCGACTCACCAAACCAGCGGCGCACAAACACTCGTCTGAGCCGCCAATCCTCCTCCACACTCCTGAAAGAGATCTTCACCTGTTCCTCTGAGCAGAAACACCTGACCACAGCTACATCGCCTCCTCCTCCTCCAGTCAGACTGCGCCACATGCTCCTCTGATACCCCATTGAACCTGAATGCTGGCCTCAACAAACGTCCTCAAAAAAAGGCTCAAAAACAAAAAGCAGATGAAAGAGAAGAGGTTGAGTTTTCCTGCAGCTCTAAAGTGCCCTGAATGCCCCACATGTGTAAACTGTGACTGCAGAGCTGAACAGAAACATGAGGAGGAAGAGGAGGAGGAGTTACAGGAGGAGGAGAAAGGGCAGACAGCAGGAGGAGTTGCTGAGGGGAGGAAAAGATTTAAAAAGAGAGGAAGATGAAGGTCCTTCCTCCTCTCTATTTGGGTTCAAATGAATAAAAAAATATATATATATATAAAAAAGAATCACAAAGAAACGCTAGCAGAGGGAGGGGCTACAAACTGACCTGACATGAGCCAGAAATACACTAGAGGGTGTTACCGAGCAACCACAGAGACTCGGGATCTGATCAGAAACATCTGAACAAACACAAGAGCTCACGATTTAATGATGACACACAACAACACAGACACACAACACAGACATAAACAACACAGTCACAGACACACAACAACACAGACACACAGGCAGCAACAAGACATCACAAAACACAACATTACAGCAACAGATACACAGGCAGCAACACAACAACACGGCAGAACCACGGCAACCCTCGCCGTCGGCTTTGATTTACTCGTCGCTCGCAGGTTGGCCCTGCCCCTCTGGACAACTTTAATCACTGTACTCGACTGAGTGCCTTCCTCTGCGCCTCCTCGCACACTTTCTCTTCAGCTCTGTTCAATGGGACCTGAAGTGCAGTCTGAAGATTACCCAGCTGCACCTGAACTCATCACTGATGTCATCCGTTTCTGTTCATAAAAAACTTTATTAGCATCATCATTTATTTTAGGTCCTCTTTTATTTCATTTTAAAGAGTCACATGTTTACTGGGGACGGAGCCTGAAACACATCACTGAGTGTGATTTTATTTCAAATACAAACGGAGCTCCGCCTTAACCTGCTAGGAACTGGCGTCCACATATGTGGACATCACATTTGTGGGATGTCTAGACCAAAATAATACATTTTGCTCTACAAGGACTTGATATCCAGTTACGAAGACAGTATACTGCCTCTGTTCTATCAAAATTTAAAATGAATGTCCTCCTATGTGGCTCTCATTTCTCTCAGAAACAAAAATCAGGTAAAAAAAAAAAAAAAAAATCAGCGGGGCTGATGACAGCAAGCTGGGCGGTGAGGTGAACACCATAACACGTACAGGCCGCATCAGGTGTCAGGGTTCACCACCTCACAGCAGGTCTCAGCACACTCACACAGGAAGTAAAGGCACCCTCCTCAGCGACCTGCACAAGTTTTCATTTTTCAAAATAAAAGTCTGCAAGGCACAAAAATACACCTTTTTCAGTCTGACAATGAAGTTTCCCGTCACACAGTCTCTCATCATGTCTGTCTTTTATTATTTAAAAGCATGATGACCTAACCTGTTTCAGTGTGAGCCTGACATCACCGCGCTGCAGCTGAAGGTCTCAGGTTAGTGTCTGTGGCAGAGGAGCTGGAACGTTCTGCGTGAATCTGTTTCCTCTTTCTCTGGATCACAACAGATGTGTGATCGTGTTGAAACTACAACACGGACCACAGATCACCTGACCTAAGTGATGCTCCATAAGTCACAGAATAAATTGTCTCACCATTCCTACAGAGATGATCTGGGGGAACTCATTACCTCGATTGGTCAGAGGGGCCGATGCCGCAATATGGCAGCCTCGCTTATGTCAGTCTGCCCCAGGGCAGCTGTGGCTATAATTGTGCTTTGCCTGCACCAGTGTGTGAATGTGAGAGTGAATAATAGTGGAATTGTAAAGCACTTTGGGTGCCCAGAAAAGCACTATGTAAATGCAATCCATTATTATTATTATTATTATTATCCCCTCCATTTCCCAGCTGACCTGAAGTAACCACAAACCCTGATTAGCAGATGCTGAATGAAAACACAGCGATTCACAGCGTTTCCATGAATCAAACGTCCCTGCAGCCACGAGACGTTTAGGGTGTGAAAATTCAAAACATATTATGGAAATGGAAATGCTTTGAATGAACATTTACATGATCTGAGTCACGTTTGTCCTCTCCAGCACGCTGCGTAGCTATGAATAATTGGACATCATCTTCTCCTTGTCGCTCCTTCAGCTCAGCGAGGTCAGAGCTGAGATGCGTCTTACTTTCACTAACATTGAGCTCCTCCATTTTGTTTCGGTCTGTTTGTTTATGTCCTGAAGCGTCTCGGGGGGGTGAAGGGGGGGGTGGGATAATGGCCAACTGTTCTTGAGACACAACGGAGCCGTTTAACCACAGCGTCTCGCCATGATGCCACAGACACACGCCACTTGTAACCAGCGGGGGTGGACAAAATATCAGGAACAGGAACAGATCAGTGCTGCAAGAAGCGTGACGCTGTGAGTCGTGAACGGCAGAGTTACGGTTTGTACGGTTCCTCTCACACATGTACAAGAAACATGTGTGAGAGGAAACAGTGAGTGAAGCATTCATCACATTGCATTGAAGGTCCTGATCTGTGCAGCTTATCCTCTTTTAGAGGAACCTGACAGGTTTAGGAACCTGTCTGGTTCCTACCAGACAGGACAGAAACAATCTTGATCTTCCTGAAGATCCTTCAAACCTCACACAGCTTCAGCCCAAAGTACTAAAACTTTTTATTGTTTGTTGTGATGAAAGAAAAATGTGTGAGTTCAGACAGCAAGGGTGCTGCTGCTGCACAAGTCAACATCAACTAAAAACCTTAGTTTCCTGATATGTTATTTTTATTTTGATTAGGTTTTTTTTAATTTGCAGACGAACACAGTACAGGAAGCTGAAGAGCTGACTGGCTAAATCTGTCTCACGTATGGCGTTCCACAGGGTTCAGTCCAAGATCCTCTGATGTTTCCTGTTAAAATATTTCCTAATGTAACACTCAGTACTTTGTTTTACTGGTTTATAAAAAAAGAAAATCTGACATCTGAGATGACTCATGATTGGCTGCTTTCACACAATAACTTAGGAAGTGGTGTCTGAGGATATGCATCACTTCCTGTCAGAGTGCTGAGTCAAACAGCAGGTAAACAAAACATCTTCCCCCTCTGCGGGGAAGAGAGTAGGATTAACGTGGAGCGTCATTGTTCCTGCACACCTCGAATGCCTCACTCTAACAGGAATAACCCCTCGTTTCCCATAAGCCCCTTTCACCTCCTGAACCCCGACCACGAGCACGCAAACACAATCTATAATCTGTCGGTGTGATCGATCAGCAGCTGCACAATGAACAAGTACAGTGACATTTAGACCTACAGATTAATCATCTCCTTATTGATAAGCATGTTTCCTCAGCTGGAGGCGTGTGTGTGTGTTAATCTGGAGTAATGGGGATTAAAGTTGTGAGTTAATCCATCACAGATTACACACTGGAAACAACAACAGGAGAAGCAGAGCTGAACACTGTGGACCTGAGCCACTGTAATCTGCACAGGTGAGTTCACTTTAAAACACCAGCAAAGTATAAACTACATTCCGCACAGTGGCCATACTCTCAGGTACGCCCAAGACTACTGGCCTCACGCTACCTGTTACTCAGACTCACACCTACTGACAAACAGCTTTATTTGACGTGTTTTTCTTAGCTGATGTCGGTGAGCCTTGTGGCCAGCCGTCACTCACTTCTCCCGTTTTTAATAATCTGGGTAAACGTTGATGTTTCACACTGTGATGAGGCTTTCAGTGATTACCGTGCTCAGGGTTTCTGTTATTGAAGAACTTCTCTGATATTCCAGTTTATTCATGTATGAGTATTTAGGTCAGTCGTCCACCGAGACAAACCTGCTGCACACACACTGAGGTCTGACAGACAGCAGCTAGCACATGTTTATACCAGCGTTTCATGAACATGAACATGCACAGCTCTCTAGCCTCACGCTTACTCCACTGTGTTTACAGAGAAGTTGATGGTCCACTCTGATCATCACCGCTGGTCTGAGGTGTTTGATTCTGTCCATGATGGACCAACACCTGCACTCTGGTTATGTCTGTTCCTCTGGGCTCTGTTCAGGTGCAGCTGTGCTGCCCTGTTCTTTCACAGAGGAAAGGCTTTCTCCTGTGAAGTCCTTCCAAGCAGTCGTACCCGTTCAGTCTGATTCTCAGAGTGCTGTCATGAACTGTGACCTCAGAGTAGCAACGATGTGCTGAAGTACGTTGTAGTTTCTCCACCTCAGAGCACATCAGTAAGATCCAGCGAGTGCGAACAGCTGGACTCTAAACTTCACCTCCTCACACACAGGAGCCAGTCTGAACCAGTCCTGTGTGGACCAGAACTGCCTCAAACCAGTTTAAACAAAGCAGCATGATGATGTCATCGCGATAACCCCACCACCTATCTTATGCAACACATCAGCTGGTTCCCATAGTGATTAATAGGCAGGTGACTTGAGATCATGTTCAAGTCTGACACACACACACACACACACACACACACACACACACACACACACACA